CCCCCCCCCCCCCCCCCCCCCCCCCCCCCCCCCCCCCCCCAAAGAAGCCCTTATCTAAGCATTCTGTTTTATTTAGTCATAATTGTTCTTTTTTTCTTTTGCATTCTTATGCTATTTTTACATTATGTGACAAAACATATTGAGGACATAGCAAATAAAAAAAGGAGTATCTCAAAATGGCTTATTTTGAGCATCACAAAGACATTAAATTTTGTCCTCTGTTGGGATGAAGAGTCATGTTGAAACCTCTGCTTGAGTGATGAAAAGAAGATTTTCACAAACCGAGAAAATACATACATGTATGTTTTTCACTCAAACGCCAGAGGTCTGTTACTGATTCTTCCGAGGTGCACTTGAAGCATTCTGTGAATTATCCTGTGGTTTGCTTTGTTACCCAGGAGATGGGATTGAATGTGGTAAGGTTTTTCCCAGTGCACAGGTAAGTGTGATAAGCAGAGGGACCTACTGTGCCAGACGGAGATTAGGGAATCTGGACTGTGAAGAGGAGTGTGTCTACAAATGGGGATCAGGCAGGGAATCAGAGCATGGGAAGAGGAAAGAGCATGGAATGAAGCATTTCAATGAAGTGCTGGAGAAATGCCTGTGTCTGTAGGGAGAATACTTTGACAGAAGGGTCTCTCTGAAAGGTTTAAGAATTCTTGGAGAGGTGCATGGAGGTCTAAGAGGTATAAGAGTGCTTACAAGTTATGAACGTGCAAGAAGTGTGGCTATCATACCTGTAAGATAGAACTGTGATAAAAGGATCGTGGAATGAGTTGTGTGTAGGCTAAATGCATTTAAGGAGGAAAAAATGGCTCTGAAGACAAGAAAACTTGAACCAAACTAACATGTATGAATGTCTAAACTTGGAGAATGTTTTCTCACTCTGTTCAGCTCTTTTTGTATTGCTGTTATTGTCACATAATAATTATGCCCAGAAGATGTAATCAGGGGCAAAAAATATTTACAGACCTATTGAAAAGAAACATTCAGTGGAGGGAAAGTGGAGAAGAAAAAAGCTGGGATTGCATGGCAGAGGGCTGCAGGAAACGTTCATCTGATTTCCTTTCTTAGGCAGGAGTGAGCACTGTGCTGAGTGGTGGGTTGGAGAGACAGGAGAGGACCATATGCAGCTGCATGTTGCTGAGCTACATAGGTGCCAGGTTATCCCTGTGCCACCAGGATCAAGGGGCAAGCATCCTCCTGTTGCTCTCTCAGAGCCGTTTCTCTGGGAGGAGATTACAGCTCATTGCTTGCTGTTTTCCTCCCATATTCCCTGGGAAATGTGGTACTGGCTCCTTGATTGCATGTGCATTGCTACAATTTGCTTGCTGTCCTTCTGGCAGTGTTATTAGTGCTTTGTGGATAAGAATTAAGTCTGTGAGTCCCTCAGATGACCCGTGTTGATAAGCTACGTTCATTTTTACTAGCTCTGCACAAAGACCTTACTTTTTTAAGAGTTTCAAAGCGCTCGTGTGATAATCTGTAAGTACAGACTGAATCATCTGTAGCTGTACAGGAACTGCCCTTTCTGTTTCTCACCCCACTCCCTACACCAGATGCTGCAGCATTTCTTTGCCCTGAAAGATCTGCTTCCCATTTCTCCATAGCATTTTGAAGGATAAGCTTAACCAACTAGAAAGAAAACAAAAGAGTGGGAGAGAAATTTTTCTTACGCTCTTTGTCAGGATGTGATGCGTGCTTTTGGCTCTCCTTCGGGCAGGACTACATGCTGTGAAAAGAACAGAAACGTGGTCAGGGTTGGGCAGAAGTGGACAAGCTCAAATAGCACACCAGAGCAGTGGCCATTGAAGGTAATGGTGAAGATCTTGCTGGTTTGTGGTGCCGGAAGACCAGTAGCAGGCTTTCCTGTCCTGCTGCAGGAGGGAATACAATGGGGAAGAGCCTTCAGAGAGGATCCTGGTGTTAGGCACTTGCTGGAGGCCCTGCACATGAGCCTGCTGGCTCTTCTGTTAGCTCCCATGAAGCCTGTGCTGGGTGGCAGAGAAAAAGGTGAGGGCTGGAGACAGCTAGTGTGGGATAAATAATTGCTATTAAAAAAAAACAAGAAACATTTCAGTATCTTTAAGCTGTTTCTCATTACTTTGAGATGCTGTAGCTGTGCTATAGTGGTGAGATTATGTCAAGTATGTCTCTGAGATGCTTCCATGGGGATTTATTGAGGGCGTGGTGGGAAGAAAGGAAGGATTTAAGGAAAATTCAAGCTGAAACAACCCAAAAGAAAGTCTTTTTCTTAATGTTACTTCAGAAATGATCTTCTGGCTATAAAATAGACATTTGTGGGCATGGGGAAAGAGCCTTCCTGAAGTTCCTGTGCTTCTCCTATGGGTGTCCAGGAGGAATCTGCCATTTCCTACCTGAGGGTGTGACCGTGCCTCCTGCCTGATGGATGGGAGTCTTTGGTGGAAAGCTCTTCCATCCAGTCAGCTTAGACCATGACTTGTACCTGCATTAACTTTGGAGAGGCCAACCACTGTATCTAGATACAGACTTCCAGTAATATCAGACTGCTTCATTGTGTTATTCCAGATTTACTGCACTGTGTCCAAGGTACAACACACTTCATCCACTCCTTTTTTTCACTTGTCAGAATATCCCATTCAGTTCTTTAACTTTATGAGGCATTTTCCTTGAAGCTTTTTCTGAACTTTATTTCTTAAATCCATGAAGACACCAAAATCCCAGGCAAAACAGAAAGACTAGCTACAAGACACATGAGATACCTGGATCATAAGCCAGGTTTTTGACTGGACATTGCATTCACACTGAAGTGATCGGTTTTGGATGGTCATTTTTGGACACAGCAAGGGCTGATTAAACGTTCTTCCAGTTTGACTTGAAAATTATTCTCCCAGCTCTCATTATATCTTACTCTTTGCACTTTAAAATTAATTACCCTTCCTGTATGCAGAATACAGGTGTTATGACTATGGGATTTAGCAGCTGGTTACAAAAAACAACCTGCAAAAAAACCTACAAAATTTAGTTGTGTTTAATTCCAATTCTAAATGCTGACCCTGAGGGCAAGGCATGTGAAGGGAGGCTTCCCTTTCAGGCTGTGTTTATAGCCCACAGGCATTGAAGAGTCAGGAAAATGACTGTTGCTCTCTAAGTGAGTTTTCCTTTACATTTTTGGGATCCAGGAGCTGCCATGCTTAGTACTGCCATGCGTTAATATCTGTGAAGATGTTTGGAAATGTGGAAACAGCTGGATAAACTGAAGCTTCTCATTACTGCAGCTGCAGTGAAGCTGCAGAGAATTCCGGCCTTGAGATCTGAAGTTCTGAAGGACCTAGGTCTGCTGATCCTGCTATTCCTGCTACCTCTGGGGCATGGATGAGTGGTGGCAGTGGTGGCCTCCCCCATGCTGAGTACTGCTGCCCGTGTCACAGCCTCTCTAATGGCGTGAAGAACAACTTCAGATGCCACAGTGAGGATGCAAGTACTGAGCAGTAGGACCCCATCAGACAGAAACAGAGTCTTGGCCAAGCTCTGCCCTCGGTGAAGCAGGAAGTAACAGGAGGTGCCACGTCTTGTCCAAGTCTCCTGCTGAAGTACAGTGTTTCCACACGTATCACAAGTGAGTTATTTGCCTGCACAAAGCCAGAGAATGTGCTAAGCTGTCAGCTTGATCGCAGTCTGCTCTGGGAGGTGACTCAAGGATCCTCAAGGATCCCCAGTGCCTTCTCCTGCATGAGCAGTTTTATATTTTAGAGCACTGCAAGTGTGGGGTGAAAACCACACAAACATGATGAAAGTTGTTTTCTGCAAATGTGTTCTATCTTGCTTTTGAAGCTGCCACAATGACTTTACTGGTGGTATTGCACTGTGTGCAGGCTAATATTACTAATTGTTCATGAGCACTTTAATTAAATCCAAGTGTAGAAAAGTTCAGTGGCACAAAGGATCATCTTAATGATTTATGTATTTTACTGGTTAACGCGTGGAGCTCAGTTTCTGTATATTGTTACCAAAAGCAAGTACTGTTGTGCTGCTATTGGCACCCAGGCTGGTGCACGACAAACCGTATATTAATGTGCCTAATGGCAATAAATGTTCATCTTTTCAGAGTACATACAATCCACAGACTGACTCACAGCTTGTCATCTGCCAGCGTATGTGGTGAATGGCTTACATGGGCTGAAGAAAGGGAAGGCATCAAAGGGAAGTCACAGCACCAGCAAACACGCAATTACTTGAATAGCCATTGAAAGAAGAGTGAATCGCGGAGGTAGATGTAAGTGACCCACTTGCACAGGAATACAATGGCAACAATGAAATCAGTGGGGTTGCAGGGCTCTCCCTGCAAACATGATTTTTCTGCAGGGAGTGGGAAGGCAAGGCTGAATTCTTGCAGATGCTGTTTCTGGATTTGCCTGCAAGAGGCTGTTTGTGTGTGCAGTCCAGATTTCAGGCAACAAAAACGATTACGGTGAGGGTTCACTTTGTCATTTCCACTTATATTCTGAAATTAAGCAGCTGAGAGTGCAGGCTTGCAGCTTGCAAGAAGATATCTGATCTGCCCTCACAATTTGTTTTCCCTGCTTTTACCTGCTTTCTTCTTGTTGCTGAAATACGCAGCTATTGAGTTTAAACTAATTTGCTCAATCAAATGCAGACCGGATTTTGTCCGGTTCTTACTCTTCATTACAAGCAATTAATGTTAATCATGCATTCATTTTGAGGGCATGGCTTTGGAAATGTTCCACTTACTGAGGCAGCAGACTTAAATTCCACATTCATGCGGTTCACCCAGTTCATCCGAGCTGCTAACTGCTCCCAGAACTTCATTTTCTTTTCTATCACATAGAATAGCCACGCAGTTGCAAGCTGTCACTTTAGCAATTACCTCATAGGTGTGCGAACGCTGATTCCAAATCTCCCAGTTTTGCCTGTGCAAAGATTTTGCACAGCCACAATGTGGAGGCACCTGCACGGCTCAGCTCCAGCGAGAAGCAGGGAGCGCCGAGCTGGCAGCACAACGCAGCACAGAGAGCAGACAGATGAGCTGCTCCTTTAAAGGTTTCACTAAGGATAACGCGCTCCGTCCATCCAAAAGACAACACCATCCCCGTTATTACAGTTCTGATGTACTCACATTTGGATGAAATCACGGTGGTGAAAACTTCTAAATTTTCGTCGCTGCAGCTGTAAATCTGGTGCATTTTCCACCTCTCTCTCCTGACTGCCTTTCAGCTTCACGCAACTGCTCTGAACTTCTGGTAAATAGGTTTCACTAATCCAATCTGGCTCTGTGATCATTGTCCAGATCTACAAAGGACAGACTGATGCTGTGATCTCATCTCATTCCATATTCTTCATCGCAACATTTTCTGCTCCCATCTGCCTTTGTATGAATACTGTGAATGCAAAGATTTAATTTAGCTGTTACTTAAGTCTCTGCCCAGATAGGAACATTTTGTCCTTTTACCGGTTTGGAGAATCCTCTGCAATAAACGGCTAATAATAAAGTCTGCTCTGTGCAGCCAGTGTACGGCAAGGAGACTTTATAGCAGTACTGCAAGGAATTTTAAAACAAGTTGGGATACATTTGGTATAGTTCAACACATTTAGCATGAAATGTGGCTGTTCCTATGTAATGAGGACTTGATTCTGTGTGTATTAAGGAAGGTGTTTTGTGCTCCGCCCATAAGTTCATAAACTCGTACCTAAATACTGGGCATGTCAGTGTTAAATTTCAAACACAGATGTCTAAAGGAGGGCACATCAGGCAGGCATCCATAGGGCTGCACGAACATCCCCTGTGCTTTAATAGTTCTGGAGAGATGGCAGGTGGCCCAGTCATGGACTGGTTCCTATATAACTTGAAGGATTTGGGCCTCGTTCTACATTTATGCACTTCTAGAGGGGCTCCTGTCCAAAGGTTTCAAGTGCATTCCCTCATGTCATCAGAAATTGTCCTTTTCCACATCTGTGGAAATGAGTCCCTTCAAGCTCTGCTGGCTTACTGCTGCCGTGGGCATCTGAGCTCCAACATGTTGGCTTGCAGGCTTCGGCAACAGATGTAGCAGAAACACTTTTCAAGTGCTAACAATGATATTAAATTATATCAGCCCAATGAATAGCCATCATTACGAGCATGTGTGTGTAATTAGCACAAAAACCAGCGCTGTCTTCTCCCATAGAAGACTGCCACCAAGTCCCAGATGGACCGTGCCAGCAGACATGTGCTGTCACTGACATGTTTGTGTCATGTTTCTTTGAAAAAATAAATATTGGTCAAATACGCATGCTGAGCCTAGAAGTATTTTTCTTTCTTTTGGTTCTGTGGAAAGCGTCACTGTTTCAAGAAATAACTGACTGAAGAGAGGCTGCTATCACTTGTTACATCCCAGGGCAGCCTCCTGCTGTCCAAGGGCAGGAAATCTATTGCGGGGCCAGGGCATTGTTCCAGGAAGCCGTGCAGTGCGTAGAATGGGCAGTGGGACAGCAGTATAATCACGCAAAAGTTCAATTAGTTTTTGATTTATTGTGCCACATGTTCTGCTTGTATGACTGATGTCATTAACATCAGGCTTGGCTGCCGTGTTCATCTGTCTCTGCCCAGCTCCCCAAACGTGCACGTGCTCAACAGATGGGGAGTTTCATGGGCTTGAATGGAATTGCTTATGCCACTATTGTTCTTGTGTCAAGCAATCAAACCAAATCCATTACCCACCAATAAAAAGATCAGCGCACCGTCCATTCAGTGGTGAATAGAGCAGAGGCGGTTATGCAGGGAGGATTTAATGCTTTAAAAAGGATAAAAAAAATAATGAAGAGCAACACTGAATAGTAGGAGGGAAAAAGAAAAAAAAGTATAACACATCTAACCCTCCCCTTATCACACCTTTGGCTATTCAGACTTCTTATAAGAAGTACTCTGGATCTGGGTCATTCCTTTTCTGGTTGTAGGTATGATCTAGGGATATTTTTAAACCTCAGCTAGGGGTTAGCGTTAGAACCAATGTTCAGCATTTCATTATGTTGAGGGGTGGCATGGATGTGGAAATTGAAGTGAGATTTAAGAGTAAAAATCTGGTCACTGCTTTACAGGCTAGGGTTTGAATAGGTAGCTTTGAACAACTGCCTCTGCAAGGGTGCTGTTGCTCTGGGAATAAATCTGTACAGAGGGGCTGAGAAAAGGTGCTTACAGCCCTTCCATACAGAAAACAGGACTGAGGAGGGACAACATACTGCATGTTTCACGTGAGATCATCACCTGGGAATGGATTTTCCTTATTTATGAAATGGAGTTGGGCATTTCATTCTGCCCAACAGGCAGTCAAGCACTGTAAATGCCTTGGGTTTTGCAGGATATCTTAATGTGTCATCAAGAAAAGGACCACAACGCGTCCTGAGTGACATTCTTCTAGCTCTTTGGGGATTATTCTGGACAAATGATCTTGGTTCATACAGCTGCAACAGACAAAATCTTTTGAAGAATAGCATGGCAGTAATTTAGACTTGGAGAGGACACCCATGACCCCAGTGTCCAACCTAAGAAGTGCATGTAGACTTACATCAGACAATTTCACACTACCTCCCTTTAACTGCTGGTGGACTTAGAAAGAGCTCGGTCTGTAGTGGGAGCAGAAAACCACATGTGCCTACTGATTCTGTAGATCCTTTTTCTTTATCTCATTGACTTATATAAAATATCCAGAAACTAGGCTAAAATTTAGTTTCACATTTGAGTCTCTCTGACTGAAGACTCCCATGCTGGCATTTGGAATCCAAGTGGTTCAAATTCCTGACTGTGGGCTGTGGTACATCTCTGTTTACCAAATTCAACTCCCAGCGTTGTCAGTTCATGATAAAAACATGTGCTGGTGGAAGAACCTGGTGACCAAAGGTGAGTGAGGACAACTGAAGAGGAGGAGGAGGAGGACACCTCAGGACATATCAACAGACATATGGCATCTGCCTAAACATCCACCTTACCTAATCTGCAGGCCTGAAACAGGGAAGGCATTTGATATTGGGATGTGGGCAAAAAGGAGGGTGATGTTGGTAAGTCGAAGAGCCATGTGCTGAGGCAGAAAAAATTAGTAATAACAACATAAGCAGAAAATCCCATGGTGACCCAGAAGGTGTTGAAATGTCATGCTGGGGAAGCAGAAGGGTGCTTCTCCCAAGGACTGGATCTATTCAGGCACATCTAGAAGAAACAAGTGTAGATGCTTCTCCTGTTCGCCAAGTTTGCTGTAGCTGGAAAACTTCAAACTAATAGAACAAAACTAATTTTTAATTAAGGTCACCAAAAAATTAATTAAAACTTGGAGTGATTTAAGACAAGTATCGAAACCTCTAGGCCTTACTTACACAGGCCTCTGAAAACAAATGAATGCCTTTCTAATACAGTATCTTTCCAGGGGAGCCAATGGGAAGCATCCCTGTATTTTCAGCATACACGGCACTGCCAAGGGATTCCCTGGCTGGCGCAGGACAGAGCTCTCCCCAGGTCAGGTCCCAGGGCTCCTGCTGGATCTTAGACCCTCTTGCGTAAGAGGCGAATCTAATCCGTACTGAAGCCACTTGAGCCTATTTCTTACCGTTAGCTGGGCAATATGATAAGGATAAACCGCAGGTATTTTTGGAATAGGATTGTGAAGGCAAAGGTATGCACAGTTAACCACTCAAAAATAAGATGGGATAATACTACACATGCCTGCTGCTGATGCTTACCCTAAAACAGTTCTGCGTGATGCGGTGCACACAGTAGATTCTTGTGGCAAGAAAATAGCTTTGTTTGATTTTAAAGCCACAGAATCGCAACTGACAATGACAGAAAAGTAAAACCAACAGCAAGAGCACAATGTGAAGTTATTTTGTCATGCATAGCCTGCTATTTCCCTGTGAGTGAATGGAAAAGAGAGATGGCTTTGCTACCCACAGTTTCAGCTAAATCTTACTGTACTGTGCAAAACTAGTTCCAAATCAGGGTGTTGCTGTACATCTGAATGGTCTGCAGATAACCGAAGAATTTTCAGAAGTAACATTTCCTTTTGCTGGCAGCTGCTAATGGCTGATTTTATCCAGATGGGAATAAGAAGACTGGGGCGCTAACAAAACATTGTGAGCTTTACACTCACTACAGGGGATGAGGAAAGATGCCGATGTCTGCAGTTTGAAAGGGCTGATGCATGAATACCTCCTCTGGTAATCAGGAAAGGAAAGAGCAACCAGACCTGGAAGCAGGCTGAAAGCATCCCCACTAGTTACAGAAAGATACTGCAGGATCCTGAGGAAACAACAACAAAACAGCCTGCTTGGTGCCTCCTGAAAAAGTTACATCCAGATAATTGGACATTCACAAATTTGCCCTAAGCTTGTAAAACACACTTGAGTAAGCCCATACAATGATTTGTAAGGAGCACAATGCCCAGCCCTGCAAAGTTCAAGTCCTGTGTAGCTTGTGCCAGCAGCAGGATTGCATTGAGCTAGCATTAATGCCAGGGCCAATGCTGTGTATCCCAGCTGACATGTGGAAGCTTACAAGCGTTCATATGCTGGTCTGGTATAATCCACAGAAAGAATTAAAAATGCCACCAAATGAGGGATATGTTCAAATCAGGCTGTGATAACAGTTTATTAAGATGCTGAACTTCATTTCTATTCGTCCTTGATTTTTCAAGCTATTTTATCAACATTCTTTATTCCCTGGTAAGGCACTATAAGGCACTATTCTTGGATGGGGCTTGTTCACTCTCATGTTTTCTCTTTCAAACATTTTAAGATTATTTTGACTACTGGCCCCTGATAAGAATATAGCCATATCTGGACAAACACACACCTTAATTAAAGCTTGTCACACAGTTTCTGGATTTGAGCAGTGGGAGCTCTCTTGCTACAACTGCAGAAAGTATCTCACATCCCACACTGCTTGGATAATTATGCAAAAACTGCTTGGGATTCCCCCCATGGATAAGTCCAAAAGAGTGAGGCAGCATGAACTGCCTCCTTATTTGTATCTACTGTGCCCTCATGAGCCATCAGGCTTTTTCTGCTGTGTGTCACACATGCTCTGTGGGATGAAGGTCTTTTGTGGATATCGGATTGCAATCCCATCTCTAGAAGTTCTGTGTGAAAATGAGATTCGATTTAAAATGAGGAACATCACTGTGGGAACTCTGAGACTAGAAAACAGGAATAGGGAATGCAA